TTGGGCATTTCTCTTTCTCGCGTTCTTTCCAATGCTTTGTCTCGCTCGCACTCGCTTAGTAGACGCGCCTGCGCATAATGACGCTCGACTATCTATACCCATATTTGGACTTCGTGCGTCTCTCTTTCTCGGGCCTCGTGCCTCTTATTGCGAAGATACGCGACTAGCAATATAGAAGTATTATATATATGGTCAAATTGCGCTCATTTCACTTCCGCTTCGATATATAAGTACTCTACTTCCAATGGAAACGGAACACTAAATTTGATCTGTATCGGAGTGAAACCGAATTGATGGTTTTGGTGGAAACTAGACCATTGAATTGAATTTTATGTCTAAATGTGAATAAAGTTTAAATAAACAATGTCGTTTTTTTACACGTGCGTGTGCTACAGATATGTTACGAAAAATTTGTTTACAAAAAGAAGTCAAAAATGTGTGTGTGTGCACATTTAAAAAATATTACTCAAGCTTTGTATTAAAAAAAATGTTTAAAAAATTACAAGAATTATATTCGTTACTTCAGAATTTAAAAAATTATTTTTACACGAGTAATTTCCTTTCAAAAGATTGTTTTGTAATAATCCTTTGACTTTTTTCACCGCATGTTCCGTTTACCTACCCGTCACATTTAAAAGTCTGTCGGCGGACATTTACAGAATTGAATCCACCAATCAAACCACTTCTCGACGAAGAACATCATGAAAAATGTCATGGGAACTTCCCTTCTAGCTGTTATCCTAGTATATCAGGTGACTGAGAAAAGCGTTTGGGATCTATTACCAACGGTCGTAAACGCGTCCCTCTCGCTCTGACTTGTCTTCTTGGAAATCGCGCAACAAAGAGGACTAGAACACAGCACGCGAGACATAACACGTCGTCGCGACGAGAATGCGACCGGATTCGCGCAGCGTGTCGTTCACGTTTCACCGGGAAGTGCTGGCCATGCGGAACTCGCCGGAGGTGGTACGGAGGTCGCGCAACCTACGCCAGCGTCTTCAGGATCGATTTGACAAGGACCGCGGAGCCGGCGACAATGCGAAGGAGAAACCGTTGAAGACAAAGGAGTCCGTCGACCGGGTCTGGAACAACATCAGTCTTGGCAATGTATCCGCGGACTCGAGACGCGCGTTGCGCAGCGGCGCCGAGAAGCTGTCCAAGACGATATCTTCGGTGCGCACTACTTTCGGCACGATATCTCAAGTAAGAATGTTATGAACTTCCACTTTTATGAAGGAACAGTTCACTTTTTATTTTATGTGCGACTTTGTTGCAGTGTCATTCTCACGAATTGATTTTAGAGATTTTACAGTTTTGAGCTGTTGAAATATAAACACAAAAACTTAATTCATTTTATTTACTTATATATTGATTAAATTAAATTTTAGTAACTTTGTTTAATAAATTTAATTTTAATAAGTTAAAGTAAATTTTATTTACTTAAAATAAATGTCCCAGTGCTTAAACATGTCTCTGTACTTAAACAATCACTCGATTTTTCATTTATATTAAACTATTTTACTGATATTTACAATAATCAAAAGTTTTAATATTTTTAATTGTATTATTATTAAAACATTGTAATAAAAATTTTCTAAACAGTAGATGTGATAAAGAAAAGAATAATTTTTGAGATTAGTAGCAAATTCATTGCGTTTTCAACTCCTACGTTAGCAGTTTGCGTATAAGACAAAGTATATTCTTCTTAAGGTTATAATTAAATACACAAAATAAACTTTTTTGTTCAGCAAAGATTTTTAAAACTCATTATAGACTATAGATTGATAGAAAACTTTTTTCTATATCTTTAATTTTTAGTTATAATAATTAAATTATTGTGTTTATATACTGGTACAAGAATCCGCCGGTGGCGGAGTTGTTAACACTTAATTCATCATAGCGTAGCGTCACCCTTGCGTACACATATAAAATAATATTTGTGCGACAAAACAATAATTTGCACCGAATCAGTAAGTATTTTTATATTTTTATGGTTTTATTGTATATATATATAAATATATATCTAAACGTACTAAAATAATACTATTTTAACTAAAATATTTAAATATAATATGATAAATTAAATGACTTGTTTTCATAACCTTATCAAAAAATTATGAAACTCAAATTTGAATAGTTTTTACATTAACATTAATTTTTATTTATTTTAAGTAATTTGGATGACAAAAATTAAAAAAAATGTCAAAAGCAATCAAAAAAAGCAGAGAGACGAAAAATTACTCTCAAGACAACGTCAATAATGCAGTAGATGCTGTCAAAAAAGATATGTCATTACGTGTTGCAAGTAAATATTTGATGTTTCCTGCTGCACAATTTATGTGAAATCTGAAAATATTGTTCCTTTGATGGCTCGAAAGAGCCCACAAACATATCTAACAAGAGAAGAAAAAAACAATCTTGTAGAATGGATTTTTTATCTAAGTGAACGAGGATTTCCAGTAAATAAAAATCAACTTTTGGACAGTATGAGAGATGTAATTGTTGAATTGAAGATAGAAACCCCTTTTGTAAACAACAGACCTGGTCGTCACTGGGACGAGACGTTTCTCCGGCGTCATCCTCAGTTAACTTCAAAAGTAGCTCAAACGTTAACATCAACTCGTATTTCAGCAACAGAGGAGGTTTTACGCAATTGGTTTAGAGAAGTCGACCAACACTTAAAAAAACTAGATTTGCTAAGAATCGAACCACCAAGAGTTTTTAATTGCGATGAAAGTGGATTTCAACTTTGTCCAAAACCAGGTTGTGTTGTTGTAAGAAAAGGTTTCAAGTCTGTGTACAAAATTGCTGATGGTGATGAAAAGAAGTACTTGACTTCATTATTTACAGTGAATGCAGCGGGCTTAATAGTCCCACCTATGGTTGTGCATTGGTACCAACGATATGGTGTAAGCAGTAAAATGTCTGCAAGATGGAACATTGGCTTGACTGAAAAAGGATACATGGCTGCGGAGTCATTCTTTGAATATATTTCAAACATCTTTTATTCACGACTGATAAAAAATCAAATTAAATTTCCAGTCGTCCTTTACCTTGATGGTTATTCATCGCACTTGACTTTGCTTCTGGTTCAGTTTTGTCGCAGTAACTAAATTGAATTAATTGCATTGTATCCCAACGCACATTCTCCAGCCGTTAGACGTATCTGTTTTATTATTTAAAAAATGCGTGGAAAGACTATATAATTGGAGATTAAAAAACGAAGGTTAATGTTTGAAAAAAGATTTTGCTCCAGTATTGAAAAAAACATTTTGATTCTCTAAACAACTTAAAAAATATGATTAAAAATGAGTTCAAAACCTGTGGATTCTTACCTTTTTCGGTGAATACTGTTAATTTCAATATGTTAAATAAAAATAAAAAGCCTGGTTGCACTGAAAGCGAGACCAATGACGTGAATTTGAATTCTAGCAATAAGAAACACGAGTATAATAATCATTTACAAATATTTGAAAACAATATTACTTCGGAGATATTAAGATTTCAAATCAGCGGAGCTCGCTAGACCAATTCAATACGAAGGATTGTTTATGTACTGGATAAACATCAAGCAACAATGTGGTGTGAATTGAATCTTATATTATTATAACAATATGACTAAATATTTTAATATTTTTTCTTGAAATAAATTTATTTAAAAAATTTAGTAAACATAGTTCAGTTTTAACTACGGAAAATAGTAATCTAACTTTAGATTCTATTCTAACACTTACTTTTGACGAAAGAATGATTGAGAGTGTAAATGATGAATGTAATGTTACTGTAAGTATTACGGAATGTGTAAGCAAAGAAAATAGTTACGTTCCAGGTGAAAATCAAGAACTAAATCTGGAAAATAAAGACATTCTTATCGTAATAGTACAAGATTTAAGTATTAGTATTGAAGTATTAAAATACGAATATTTTACAAGATTCAGATATTAAAATAGTATAATATTAGATATGAATGTTTTACAAGGTTTGTAAATTTAAATCCTTTCTTATAACTTATTAAATTGAAATATTTATTTACTTTATAATATTCCACATAGCATGGTTAGTAGCACAAACGTTTTCGTAACGTGTTTTTTTTTTTTTCAACAAAACGTTACCAAACCGTTTGTGCTACTAACCATGCTATGTGAGATGTGATATATTAATAATCTAAGAAAGATTCAATTTTCTTTGCAGTCAAATATATATGGTAGCAATGATGACAATAATAACGTGCAAAATCGGATGACTAGAGGATATTTACTTTGTCTCCCAGATAGCACATGGATGTCTATTAGACGTCCATCGAACGTTTCCTTGTGAACATTGGAACGTCCGATGGATGTCCGATTAAAGTTCGCTGGACGTTCAGTGGACGTACATTCGAGGTATGTTTGCAACTCCGTACGACGTCCATAAAATGTCCATGCTGGACGTTCACTGAACGTTCGACGGATCTTAATTGGACGTCTAATGGACGTCTAATGGACGTTTTTATTTCTATCAACGGACGTCCACAGAATGTCCGAAACATGTTCCGTGTTTAAAAGTTGCATTAATTATAAGTTTTAACACTCTTGGTTATTAAAAATATTTATAGACATAAGTGAATTTTATAAAATTTAATATATATGTTATATAACATTTAATAAAAACGCAAATTGATTTAAAAATTACAATGTTTCAGAATTGCGAATTTTGTTCTATTTGAGAAAAAAATTAGATATATTTAAAAAATTAGATATATTTAAAAAACAGTATTTATTAAGAATGTTGTATCATATGAATAGAAGTAGGACAAAATATAATATAAATATATAAGATGTCCAAGAATCTATAAATATACAAGATTTGTGTCCAAGAATGTCCTATTTAAGATATTCCAATATTATATTCGAGAATGGATGTCCATAAAATGTCCTGCTTAGGATATTCTCTTTATGTCCAATAATGGATATTCGATGGATATCCATTTTCGGTCTGTGGACATATGGACTTAAAATGGATCTTACATGGACGTTCCAAAGATGTTCTGTGCTATCTGAGCTATTATCTTAATTAGATGTTGATTTTTCAAAGGACATTTTATCGTTCTCTGGACGATTTTGTGAACATGAACGATCGAGATCTGTTAAACTTTATTATATATTTATTTGACAGATTTTTTATATCATTTTTTAAAAATAATTTTATTGCTTTTCTGTATAAGAAAATTTTACCATACTAGTACAATTCTGGCATAAAATTACTGATGATATTTGTGCCAAGGATAGCCAGTAATATTTTTCTGTAAAAGACGTCGTTCACATTTCAGAGAGAGTATTGTATTTTTTAATTTACTTTAAGTATCGTCGAAATTTCGAATGTAGAGATAGAGTTTACTTATGTTTCTGAAATAGAAGATAATTTAATAATTAAGTCTAATAGCTTCGCAGTCTGAGTGCAGGAGCTACAACAAAGAAATCACGAGTTCAAATCCATTCAACACCTTAGAATTTTTTCCGGGTCGATTTCTTCTCTCGAGTATATAAGGTGAAAGGCGAACAGTATCAGGCCTCCAAGAAGAAATAAGGATAAAAAATATTTTTTACAGAAATGCTGAATTATATATTACTATTGCCAATGTACTAGTATTTTAGTAGTAAAATTGTTCTATTATTTTTCTGTAAGAGTTCTAAACAATTACAAAACTTTTTTTCGAAAAATATTAATGTAAAAAATATAGGTTTTACACAGAGAGAACGGTTTCTTTAAATTCAATAATCCGATTTGTTTAACTCATATTTGTTGCATTCAAACAACAATTTTATACCAAACAACAATTTTGTTGGATGAAAATTATATTGTTATGTTAAAATAAATCAAATTATTTGACGGAAACAATACAAATGTTTAAAATAATTTATTCCAACGAAATAATATTTTATTTGGTTTTAATAAGCATTATTTAGTGAAAAAAATCATTTTGTAACATAAGTATAACATAAAATATATTTGATTTAAATATAGCATTGGTTGAGACAAAAACTTTCGCGTTGTAAAAATGTACTTTAAATTATAAGAATAATTAATAATTAATAATAATAAGAGAACTATTTTTATCTATTGTTGCAGATACATTGCACTGTAATAATTTTAATAAAATAATAATTTAAAGAAATAATAAATAAAATGCGTATAGGATAGCTTGAGAATAAGTAGATAAAAATAATCAAATTTTAGTAAGGAACAAGTAGTCTTGCGGACTGAGTGCAGGGGCTTGCGAATACGACGGAGGCATCTCGAGTTCTCGAATCCCCGCTATCACCGTTAGGACTTTTTCAGGTCTAGTCTCTTTCAATGGAGTTCATCGGTTGATTGGCAAGCTGAAATCGGGCCTCCAAAAATTACTTTCGAGTAAATTATCAAAGTTGTGTGAAGACGCAAGCCGTGCAAAAACTTTTTTTTATTGAAGTTTAAGATTTATTTAACTTAACAAAATACTTTGTTTGAAATTAAATCGGAATGTTGAGTTCAAAATCAAGGTTGTTTAGACTATTCCAATGAAATAATTTGTTTGGATTTAACAAAATTTGTTAAATCTAAAGAAACCGTTCTCTCTGCGTATTCTGTAAAAGTTCTTGGAATGTCCTACATATATCCTGTAAAAATGCTTGAAACGTTCCACATAATAGCTTAAGGATAATTCAGGGACGAAAGGGCGCACATTTGTTCTTCCTCAATATATCCAGAGGAGATCCTGGGATTAAAATAGGATATCTGTTTCGTCCGTATAAGATGTCCTTTGGATTTTCAGAGGACGTCCATGTGCTATTTGGGAATAGATTCAATATCATTTAAAAAAAATAAAAAAGAAAAGCTTCAGAAACAACATAAAATTGAAGAAAGAAAGAAAAAAAGAATTGAAGCAAGAAAAAAGAAAATTCAAGAACAAAAATTAAAAAGACTTATAAAAAAAGAAAAAGTTGGAAAAAAGCATCAAAAACAAAGAAAGAAACTAATTGAAGTTAAAAAAAAGAAAATTCAAATGCAAGAATTACAAAAGCGTATAAAAAAAGACAAACTGGAAGAAAAGCAGCAAAAATTTGAAGAAAGAAAGAAGAAAAGAATTGAAGAGAAAGAAAGGAAAATTCAAAAACAAGGTTTAAAAAAGCATATAAACAAGAAAAAAGTTAAAGAAAACTTAACCATCTAAAATTCATAAGGAAAAAATAAAATTAAAAAATAAAAAGAACCTAATATTTGTTTCTATTATTATTATTTATTATATTAGAAGTTTAGTTAAACATTTATTTAAGAACATGTTTATTTAAGATAAGTTATCAAGTAGTTAATTTAAAATATAAAAAGTTGATTAAAAATGTTTATTTTTAAAGTTTTGTAAAAACTTCAAATTTTAAGTGATTTGTAATAAATCTATAACTTTTCATGAAAGAAAATGCATAAATAATTTTTTTCTTATTCTATATTGTCGTAATAATAGCGTTTAAGTATTGGGACAAGATATTTTAATTATTGGGACAGGTTAGAAAACTTATTTAAGCACTGGGCCATAGCAGGTATGTTAGAATTCGATTAATTTAATGTTTTTTTTTTTTCTATAAACCAGCTCTTTAAAGCTTTATTTAGTAAAAATATAATCTGGTTCTTTAAATAAATACTAACGCCCATCAACAAAAGTTAAATTATAAAAGTATGATTTGTATAAGTTAAATAGCTCTCGTAAGTGTTTAAGTATTGGGACATTTACTTTAATATAATATTAAATGTTTATAATATTAAATGTTTTTTTTTCTTTGTATTATATACACAAAATTGCAAATTTTTAATTAAAAGCATATTGAATAAGTGCGTTACACCTAAAAATTTTATCTTATTGCAGAAATTCAAAAGTTCTACACGCAGACGTCAGAGATTAGAGGAGCAACAGTCCCCAAGCGCGTGCAATATGCAGACACCTCAGACTCGATCTCGTCAACTGTTGGGCCGTACTCCGACAAAGTTGTACAGTCCCTTTGGCATTGAGTCACCGAGGCATGCGTGGGACAAAGAAAACGAAGTTAGCACACCCATGCGCGCTTCCTCACCAGAATGCGGCACACGTTACATTCAGTGCAGACCGTTTCGCTTCACGAAAGCAAAAGGATTCTCCATGCTGAGATAAGAGTATAACGTCTGGATATTTATTATTATATCCTTTCAGATTTTCTCACACATCGATCTCTCTTTACTTCCTAGCAAAACGCAGTAGGATTGCGTGCCTTGTGCAACAACATTTATATATCGAATATATATATTGTGTAATTTATTTATGATTTATATGAAGGACTTGCTCTGCGAGCGACGCAAGATTATCATCAAATTGATAATTGTTTTTTTTTCACTAGTAGCATACAGGTATGCTAGGTACTTTTATTCTCCATCGCTTTTCTTTTTCTATACACGTATGATGAGCTCTCTGTTTTTACTTTTTATACATATTTACATATTTATATCCATGTCTAAATAATAATAATATATACGAGATACGGTAGAGTCCGATGTTTGTATTCGATCGCATGTCGAGAACAAAGTTGAAACAACACTTTGAAGATCTCGAAATGTTTCAGAACGCTGGTACAGAACGCCGAGAAGTTATTGCTGTGGTTTAAGATTTTTACTGTTTCTTGATGTGCATTACATAAGACTTCTTTAAGTCACTGTTTTTAAGATATTCATGGAAATATTTTAGTAATTTGTTATGTCAAAATCAAACTGAAGATATTTTGTATTCGTCTTACATTCCCTCTTTATTCAAATTAAATAAGTGTGAATACAATTAAGCACAAACAAATTGCACAAATTTTCGAAATAATATAATTAAAAAAGCACTTAGATACCACTTAAACTGGTTTATTCTGATTATCATGTTTTCCTTTTTGACAAAATCGCAAAAAATAGTTAGTTTGCATGTTTTTTATTTATTCTGTATATACAGGGTGTCCGACAATTACTTTAACAACTCTCATAGGCAGGTAGAAGGAGTGAAACTGAGTCAAAAAGTCCTGAACCATTTTTTTTATATTACATATAATAAAAGAGTAAGTATTGAATAAATCAAGCCAATCAGCGCCGACCTTTAGCCGAACGCACATCAGTGAACCACACGCCTGGTGTGCATGAGCGTTCCGCGCGACTCACTGCGTGCGCCCGGCTAAAGGTCGACGCTGATTGGCTTGATTTATTCAATAATTACTCTTATTATATGTAATTTAAAAAAATGGTTCAGGATTTTTTGACTCCTACCTGCCTACGAGAGCTGTTAAAGTAATTGTTGGACGCCCTCTATATGCTATTTTAAGAAAAAAGTAAAAAAGTTTTTTCAGGAAGAATTGTGTGATGGAAAATTATATGTAAAAGGCAGCTTTTATACATACGACCTCTATATAGTCTTGTTCTCAACCTAACCTACCCATAGACGTAGAATATATAGACTGCGTATTTGGCTGAAAAGATGTCTTCATGGTTGACAAAGACAACATACTTTGAACAGTAACTTTCTCTTTGTCTATCAATAGGAGCTTTTTACCTACGTACACAGGCGACACAGTGTGAGTGAAATACACTGATATGCTCTTTCTCACACTAATGGACATTGGGTGTGTTTAGCCGAAGTTAGCGCTACGTAGCGCTAACTTCGGCTAAACACACCCATTGTGTTATACAATGTCGCTTGTATACGTAGATGGAAAGCTCCCAATGTCTGTGGTGGGATCAGGGCCACGAAGTAAGAGTAAGGAGATCGAACTCCGTGATACAAAAGTGGTTCCGATTTTTACGGTTTATTGGGAGGAAATCCGCTCAAGAGAATAGTTTTTTATGGTTGGACGCCATTTGCAAAACTATGCATGTATACAACTAACACATGTACACGTTTAGTATATGTAACCTATCTGGTTACATATACGATTGCAGCATAGTTATGCATACATTTATAAAAAGAAGTTTATTTACACCTAGGACGGTGAGTTGCGATTAGTAGAGATATTATGTATATATATACATATATACTCATCATACTCTTTGTGTAATAAAGTTTCCTCAAGGATGCATCTTTTTATTTTAGAAATAATCTACTAATATCTCTACTAATCGCAACTCATCGTCCTAGGTGTAAATAAACTTCTTTTTCTGAAAACCTCTCCTTTGGTCTCACATTCTCGAATCCAACATGCTATAGCTGCGGATTCCCTCCCAAGTCTCAATGAACCGTCACAATCGGGACCACTTTTATATATGTATGTTACAAGAAGTTTGATCTCCATACTCTTCGTGAGTCAGGTTATGTTTCAAATTGCAAATGGCGTTCAACCGTAAAAAACTATTTTTTTGAGCAGATTTCCTTCCAATAAACCGTAAAAATCGGGACCACTTTTTCCATTCGCGCGCTGTCAAGTTCGACCTTTTTACTCTTACTTCGTGTGATCAGGGCCTACTGTTTCATACCGTCTAATCTGCCATCACCTCTTAATTTCTTTCATTCCTCTTCATCCCCACTCTTTTTCTATCCCCACTTCTCCACTACTATTCTATCAATCAGCGAAGATTTCTATTTCCTCCATTACTTTGCTAGATAAAGATCAGCCTACTGATCAACACCAGCTGTCTCTCTCAACGTTGAAGACATTTTCGTAACATGGCAAAGGTAGGGAATGCGCAGTCTATACATTCTACGTTTATGAACCTACGACATATCCGAACATTATTTGTGTATATATGTATTGATATAATAAAACTAATAAATTCAAATAACATTTACCAAGATTATTGTAGTAAGTTCTACCAACTGGTTGGTTTGGTTTGGTTTTATAGTGGGTAGAGGACCTTCAATACCCATACATTAATCTACTAATTTTATTTGCTTTAAACGTAAGGAGGGATTGTGCAGTACCCTGCTACCCATAGAGATATAACACTAGAGTGCGCGAGTCTTATGGGGTGACATCTACCCAGATAGCACATGGATGTCTATTAGACGTCCATCGAACGTTCCCTTGTGAACATTGGAACGTCCGATGGATGTCCGATTAAAGTTTGCTGGACGTTCAGTGGACGTACATTCGAGGTATGTTTGCAACTCCGTACGACGTCCATAAAATGTCCATGCTGAACGTTCACTGAACGTTCGACGGATCTTAATTGGACGTCTAATGGACGTTTTTATTTCTACCAACGGACGTCCACAGAATGTCCGAAACATGTTCCGTGTTTAAAAGTTGCATTAATTATAAGTTTTAACCATAGAGCTTATACTCATGAAGAGGCCCTGCCTATATGCTAACCATAGAGAGGGCTCCGCCGGGAGGATCGACAAAGAGAGATATATTTCGATATATTTTGTCTCAACTGTGGCTCCCCCACTCCGTGTTCTCTGTTATTCTCTTCTATAAGAAGTAGCCACTGTTGAGACAGAAAAAAAATATATATATATATATATATATCCCTCTTTGTCGATCCTCCTTGTGGTCGCAGGGCCTCTCCATGAATATAAGCTCTATGGTTTTAACACTCTTTGTTATTAAAAATATTTATAGACATAAGTGAATTTTATAAAATTTAATATATATGTTATATAACACTTAATAAAAACGCAAATTGATTTAAAAATTACAATGTTTCAGAATTGCGAATTTTGTTCTATTTGAGAAAAAAATTAGATATATTTAAAAAATTAGATATATTTAAAAAACAGTATTTATTAAGAATGTTGTATCATATGAATAGAAGTAGGACAAAATATAATATAAATATATAAGATGTCCAAGAATCTATAAATATACAAGATTTGTGTCCAAGAATGTCCTATTTAGGATATTCCAATATTATATCCGAGAATGGATGTCCATAGAATGCCCTGCTTAGGATATTCTCTTTATGTCCAATAATGGATATTCGATGGTTATCCATTTTCGGTCTGTGGACATATGGACTTAAAATGGATCTTACATGGACGTCCCAAAGATGTCCTGTGCTATCTGGGCATTTGGGTAGGTAAGAATAAAGGTTAGGCATATATGTAATACTTCTATATTGCTAGTACAGAGGAGTGCACCATATCGTTCCGCTCCAGGAGAAGTATTTCTCGGAAATTTCTCTTCCGGCTGTCCCTACTACCGCGCGCCGTTTTCCTTCAATTTCGGGCCGCTGGCAGAGATCGAAAGAGTACGGCGCGCGGTAGTAGAAGCAGCCAGAAAAGAAATTTCAGAGAAATACTTTCCCTGGAGAGGAACGATATGGTGCACTCCTCTGTACGGTGCCGACCTGAAGCTCAAATGTTACGGTGCAGATAATATATTAACCTTTCTCTCGCGCAAGGTCCAGCTGCTTTGTGCGCATGCGGTGAACATTCAAGCACGCTTGGGCATTTCTCTTTCTCGCGTTCTCTCACTTTCCAATGCTTTGTCTCGCTCGCACTCGCTTAGTAGACGCGCCTGCGCATAATGACGCTCGACTATCTATGCCCATATTTGGACTTCGTGCGTTTCTCTTTCTCGGGCCTCGTGCCTCTCATTGCGAAGATACGCAACTAGCAATATAGAAGTATTACATATATGGGGTTAAGAGCAGCAAATATACCTATAGGAAGCAATCCTAGAAAATTTGAGTCACGTGACGTTTTGCTGCCGCAGCGTGCTGCTGTATGAAAAGGTACTTTAATTCCATCAACAACACAGAATGGCATCGAATGAGGGTTAGGTAAGAACAGCAAATATATTCCGACAAACCTGTTGGCTCATTAGCAAGTAGAGCGGTTCACTTGCATACGCGAGTACCGTGCGATGGGCCAGGAGCTCACGCCGGATAGGGAGGAGCTGGTGAATTGACGGGCGTCGTTCTGCAGATGAAGGACCATGCTCTAGGTTCCATCGGAGTACGAGGTGAGGGAGGCTGTTGTTCCGGTGATGGACTAAGAGTTGGGATCTGCTCGTGGTGAGCTCTCCTTCCACCTTACCCAGGTCCTCAACGGACACGGAGCTTTTAATGCTTATCTGTATCACATAGGCAAGGTGGACTCTCCGGTGTGTGCTCACTGCAACGGGGTGGTAGACACTGCGCAACACACACTGGAGGAGTGCCCCACTTGGGCGCAACAAAGTGCTGACCATGAAGTAAGAGTAAGGAGATCGAACTCCGTGATATATAAGTGGTCCCGATTCTGACGCCTAATTGGGAGGGAATCCGCTCAAGGGAATAGTTTCTTACGGTTGGACGCCATTTGCAAAGTAACGTAACCTGACCTTGGCTG